ATGGACACAACCAAAATTAAAGATACCAACAAGAAAAGCAGTGAGCAGTTAAAACTAATTTGTCTTTGGTTCTCAAACCCAAGACCAATCCAGAAAACAGCAGTCACACACACAATCAAACCAGGCCTTGCCCAATTTCACATCAGCAGATGTGAACAACAGCAAACATAACCAACACACACACACTCACACTCACACCCACTTTGTGAAAATACAGAAATTCATGCTAACTAATATACCTAATTCACACACACCAACAACACTAACTAGCACCGACAAACGAACATCAAACGAGTCATACTTTTTTCCCATGTGGAAGAAGAACTCATGGAGAAGTGAACTGGTTATGATTCCTAATTCTGCTCGACCGCCTAACCGGAGTTATAATTTCCTCCTCTCCAGTAGCCTGCAATACACATAAAAAGAAAAAAAAAAATAAATTAACCAGCCACATTATAATAAAATTGTAGATAAAAGTTACAACAACAACCACAACTCTAATAATAAAGTTATCCAAATACTCACATTCTTGAGTGGAATCTTCTCAAAAGTGGTGAAGCTACCATACGAAGGCGAGCCCGTGGTGAACTCTGAAGAAGAAGAGGCCAAAGACTCCCTTTTCGAAGGCTGCTGCTTTCTTGTATTCCTATCCACACTCTGAACCTCACTTAATAATCCCCTAATCTCTTTCTTTCTATTGTTGTAAGACGACACATTCTTCTGGAAGCTGCTCATTTCCGAGGGGCACGGTGACACGTCCATGACATCATCATCAGAAGTAAATGCTTTCTTCTCTGGTTTGGTGCTGCTAATGTTGGCTTGAACGACATTGTCTGAACTCAGACTGGGATTTCCTCTGTAACCATAGAAATAGGCTGCAAAAGCAAATAGACCCACAAAGAGGGAAGAAGAAATTATTCCGATGGTGTGATAATTATGGGCAATAATAAGCTCTCTTTCCGGAGTTAACGAACTCTGGACACTCTCGGTTAGAGAATTAACATCCGGCAGACTTTCTTGATCAGTATCAGGACTGTGATTAATGATGTCACCACTGGATTTTTCAATTTCCATTATTTCAGGAGGAACAGGTTCGGTTTTAACTTGCGAAATAATTGACGCTAATTGATCTGCAGGGGTGACATTAGGGACTATGATGATCTCTTCCTGGCTCTGAGTGTCTTCTGAATATTCAGAAGCCGAATTTGACGAGTCACAGTGAATTTTCTCTTTGGTTTCTAACACATCATCCTCTTGTGTCTCGTGTTCCTCCTCAATATTCTCAATGGAATCATTAACTTCTTCATATGCTTCAAGTTCCTCTTCAAAGTCTGCAATTTCAGCATCCAACTCCTCATACAGCGCGTCATCATCATCTTCGGCATTCTCGACTGAATTCTTGCCGACCTCATCATTTCTGTTCAAAAAACGCCCGTCATTCCAAAAATCCATTTCCAGGCCAGAAGAAAGGTTCACATATTTCACCGGACCCAGATGAGTTATTTCACCTTTACCAAACTCATCAACCATCTTTAAGATGACAGCTGTAGAGTAAACAAAGAGCCGATCCACACGCCTTATGACTCGATCGAACATCACTTTTGCATCAGCAGTAGCTTCTTCAGCTCTCGACTGATGGTACAAGTGCTCCAAATCAGAAAAGGTCGATTCTTTAATAACTCCAAACTCCTCAAACAAAGGAGATCGCATGATGAATAACAACACACATGCGAATGTTAACAGCATCATTGTAAGCACAGAAAAACACACAAATCGAGAGCTTCCCCGTGTTTTCTTTTTATCCTTCTCGACTGAACTTGATTCCTCGTTAAGAAAAAAATGGCCATCCTCTAACTCAAGTCCTTCATACATATCAGCTGAGGCAATTGCTTCTAGTTTTTCTTTCTCAGGGTCTTCTTCAGCAGCACGATTATCACCACTAACAAATTCTGAGAACTCTAACTCAAGTCCTTCATACATATCAGCTGAGGCAATTGCTTCTAGTTTTTCCTTCTCTGGGTCTTCTTCAGCATCACGATTATCACCACCAACAAATTCTGAGAAGTCTAAATCGACCAATTCTGATGAGGCAATTGTCTCCAGTATCTCCTCAGAATCCATAGAAACTTCTGTGCCCTCAGAGTCTGATGAAGAGTTTTCAAACAAGTTTTCTTTGTTTAAGAGAATTTCGATTCTGGGGTTTGGTTTATAGTAAAGAAACTGAGGCCTTGGGGATAAGAAATTGGTCTTTGGGTCATAAGGAGGCATGGATGGATCGGCATCGAGTGGGGCTATACGAGTCAAAAGGGGCGAACAAAAAGCGCTCTCGTTTTTCGAAAAAGATTCCATTTTTGGGCAATCAGAATCAGTTACCACTGAATCTGAAAGTGCTTCTTGAGGAACATCTAAAAAGGTCACTTTTTTAGAAGACTTGGGGACCGGAGAGTCAGCAGAATTCAAATAAGAAGTTGGGACTTTCTTGTTCATGTCAGATTTTGAGTCCAAATCTTCAGAAGCATTAGAGAAAAACATGGCTTTACCGTCTGATAGCGAGATTGAGGTCCGGACAAGGTCATTTCTCTCCACGAAGGGCCTTTTCTTGGGTGATGGAGTGATTTTTGAGGCAGCAGAAATTGTTGGGGTCATGAAATTTTTGGAGCCCTTTGCTGGGGATTTGATTTGATCTCTTTCACTATTCTCCTTTCCTTCACAATCTTTCAGATATGAACCCGTACAGTCTTTACCCACCGAACTTCGTCCGGAAACAACTGCAAACAACACAATTATGAATTACAGTCAGATCCCACATAAGAAAATTGGATTTTCATCGGAATAAACATAAACGACAATTCAAAAATTCGAAAAGAAATCAGAACGCTATACAAATTTGGTAGAAACATAAAGAAAAAGGAAAAAAGCTTTCAATCACATAAACACAAGCAACAGATCAAAACCCCCTTACGAACTGTAAATCTAAACATTACTACCAGAAAAATCAAGAAGCAGTGAGAAGACACAAAACACACATCACAATTCATTGGAAAAATAAAATAAAATATAAAAAAGTAAAAATCTTTAATCTACAAAGGAACCTGATGGGCTATTCGCAGGGGTTATCGGATCAAATCTTCTGGGATTTGTGAGAGATGAGGGTTTCAAGGAACTGTTTCCATTGAAACTTCTCCGTGTGCTTGAGTGAATTTCAGAGTTTCTTGGGTTTGGGTTAGTAGTGGGCCTCGACGAAAGTGGCGAAGGGGATCGGTTTGTATGAGCTGCCATTGATGAGCGATAGGAGGTTTCGAATTTCTTTACTGGGAGCAGCAAGAATAGTAAGAATGAATATTATGGAAGAAATAAAACTTAGAAAATGAAATTGATTCTAATTTTCTTTGATGAAATGATTGTGATTTCTTTTGATTTCGCTGAGATGCTGTAACGGCTAGTTTCCAAATATGAACCCTTCGAGGGTTTTAGGTGAAATTTAAATGGTTTGATTGTTTTGACCGTTGGGTTGAGCTAGTCTAAGGCCCAGAGCCGTTGGATCTACTGTCATTTGTCTTTTTCTATTTTTTTTTTTCTTCGAATATTGACTTTTCTAAAAAATGAAAGTATATTTCTTGTATTTGTGTTTCCAAGAGTTTTATTTTTATAATAATGTAAAATAAAATTTGGATGTGCATGAATTAACATGTGACTGCTAGATTCGTACTTCATACACGTTGAGTATATGGTTGAAAGATTACGAGATTGCGACACATAGTTACTGAACATATTTTAATATACACTCGTTATTACTTATCAAATACATGACACAATGTATATTGCACCTTTTGGAATGTAGCTTCGAAGAACCTATGGCAAAATTACATGCATTTGAAATCTATCAATGGAGTTGTTTATTTTTCGTTTCTTGGAAAAAATGGATATCGTTGATTTTTCTTTAGCAAATAGCAACCATGCCAATATTCCATTTCAGAAGCAAAGCTCAAATCCTTTTCTTATGCCCGTTTGCTTCTTCAATTCCTCCACTTCCTTCCAAAAATTTCAGTCCCACATACCAAAATTTTATCATCTTGTGCAATTAATTTGGGTTGATTTACTTCTAACATGGTTAAAGTTGAAAGAACTAGTGTCTTTATTGAGTCTTCATTTTCTCTTCACAGTCATCTCATTTCTTCCATCAATTAACACCAACTAATGCCGTTCATTTCTTTCAAAACACACACCAAGGTGCTTTCTCATTTAAATGGAGATAAAACATGGCCATTAACACCAACTAATAATGCCGTTCATTTCTTTCAAAAATAATATTTATAGGTTTGCATGGCACCTCATATGATTTATTTCTTCCAAATTTTATATGTTTTTTCTTTTTCTTTGCTTTGTCTTGTTTTACAGCGAATGCAACATATATTAGATCAATTAACATTGCTTAGAAGAGGACTAAATTAACATATTTAATTGTTTCTAGCTATTATGTTACTTTGGTACAATGCGCACATTCATGGAAAAATATTAATAATTATCTTACAAATTTATTTATTACTTCTTGTCCAATATTTGTTTTTAAAATAAATATTTATTTGTTCCTTTTCAATGAGTTGATATATTTAAATAATTAATGAGTTGAGACTGATTTTTTTTTGGAAAAAACATTTAAACAAGCACCCTCTAGGGGTCCTATAAGAATGACTTTAATGTTTAAGGTGGAATGAGTTTAATTGTCATATCTTTTAAACTTTAATGAAATGTTGACGTGTGGAATGTCAGAGCATCTCCAGTGCATCAGCGTCATCATTAAAATTTTTTCTGTCACATGGCGGTAAATTTGACTGTGAATTCATATGAAAGCACTGTGCACAAACTAATTATTTAAAATTGTCGATTACCATCTCAAATGCATACTTTCATTCATGCATATATTTATTTTTAAAATAAACATAATGAAATGCTAAAGTAGTTTCTACAAGATTAATAGACAAAATAAAATGATAAATTAGTTTTTAAAAGACTAAGTAACTTTATTGGATAAAACATATAACACTCCAACTTAAAAAAAAATATGTAATAAAAACCAAACAATAATAAAATTGAGAAAAATATGTAACACTTATTTTTTTTAAAAAAAAAATCGCAGATAAAACATATCAACACACAAAAAAAAAATATATATAATAAAATCAAATAAATAATAAAGGTGAGAAAACATGTACAACTTTGGTGTAAGAAAATGGTAAAACTTTAATTACGACAACTGTTTTAAATTTTTTTAAAAAAAAATGGCTTTTTATCTCCACAAAAAGAAATAATAAAGTAGTTTAATTTTTTAAAATTTTAAAATTGTAATTACTAAAAAGCATTACAATTTTAGTTATATTAATTGTGTCGATTAAAACATTGGATTTCATCAACCCAAAATAATGGCAAAATTGTATTTTTAGTCCTGGTGGTTTAACGTCATAGCATTTTTAGACCAAAGATTTCAATTTTTTGTCTTTTGATCATGTAATTTAGTATTTTATTGCAATTTCAGTCCCTTAGCATTTTTAGTCCCAAAATTTCAATTTTTTGTTTTTTGATCATGTAATTTAGTATTTTGTTGCATTTTCAGTCCCAAATGACTGAAATTGCGTTGAATTTTAAAATCATAGGACCAAATAACAAAAACGTTCAATTCTTACAACTAAAAACGCCACTGAATCAAACCAACATGACTAAATTGCAATTTTGCCAAATAAATAATATGTCACAAGTTTTCCCCCTTTTTTTAGTCCTTTGCCACTATATTTGATGATAGTGTCATGTTGAATTGCTTTTTTAGATGTAAATACTAAATAGGGGTTAACGATGCTATAGTCATGTCATCATAATATGACGTACAAACTAGTTCATTGGAGGAAATAATACAAAGACGTGTCTATCTAATGCCAGGACATTTAATTTTTATCATTCCCACTGGAAATGCTATTTACTATTTTTATTTTCGGGTAAAATATACATAACCCCCTTGTATTATACGAAATTTGCACGTTTTTCCCTGGTATTTTAAAAATTGCATCAGACCCGCTTGTATTAACTAATTGTTGCACCCGCTTGTATTAACTAATTGTTGCACGATTCCCCCCTCTCCGTCCAACTTGACTGCGCGTGTAGTACACATTTCTGTAATGCGAAAATTATTCATTCTTTTTATATATTTTTTTATTTTAAAATTAAAATTTACTATTTTGCCTCTTACTTTTATACCAATTATTGGGCAAAATTAAAGCAAACTGCCACTCCTGAGATTCGAACTTGGGCCAAAAGGCCAATAACAAGGCTTCACACCACTCTGCCACCATCATTATATGGTACAAATCGAACACACATTTATTTACAACTGTAGAACACAAGAAAACTTAATCAAACAAAAAATAAAAAATAAAACAATCACAAAATAAAGTAATAATAGAAAATATAATTAAAATAAAATATAATAAAAATTAAATATGAAAATTAAATAATCAATATATTACTATTTAATATAAAAATAAAATTATAATTTCATCTAAATAAATAAAAAATATAAATATAAAATGAATTTTAAATATATGTTTTTATGAATTGAAGTAATATAATATATATAAATAAAATTAAACTAAATTAACTTAAGTTAAATTAAATTTATTTATAATAAAATAAAATGATAATTCTATTTATAATATATTATTAAGTGGTAATTTTTAAATAAAATTCCCTCCTCTGTTCGCTTTGGTGGCGGTAGAGTTGCGGTCGGTCTCCCGTTCTCCCGGTGAGGTGACGTGGTTCCGGTTGAAGGCTTCCTGGAGCTGCCGAGTTGTTGGTGGATGGGTGAATTGGAGAGAGGGGCGAGGCTCAGGCTACTCGTGGCGCTCGCGCCGGGTGGTTTGAGCGGGGGGCCGACTTACTCTTCTCTCCCCGGTTCTCTTTTGGGTTCGGGGGGAGCCGACGCAGCGGTACTCGGCTAGTGGTGTTAGGCGGATGGTGCGGTGTTGGTATTGGCTAGTGGTGTTAGCCGATTGAGGAGTGTCGACTCTCTCTGGCTGAGGACGGGTCTTTATTGGTGTTTGGTTTCGGATTTGGTATCAGCTTCAGATAGGCGTTAGGCAGTGTAGGTTGCAGGTACCGGGCCTTCGGATCTCTCCCTGATATCGATCGTTCATCTCCTGGTCTGACTCAATCTTTCTGCTGAGGAAGGGCCCTCCAGTTGGTTTTTAGGTGTTTTGTTTTAGTGTTTTTTTTTTATGTGATTGTGTCCGTGTCTTTGTGTTTTTAGTTTGGGCCGTTGGCTTCTGTGTGCCTGAGTGTCAACTTGATTTCCCTGTTAGGGCCAGATACTTGGGTATTAGCCTGTTGGGGTCTTTGTGTTTTTTTTTAGTGTTTTAGTGTTTTAGTAGTGTTCTTGAGTTTTACCCCATTGGGGTCGGTTCTAGGCGGTCTTTTGGACTTGTCCTCCCACTTTTTCAGCTATTGGCTGCGTGTATTCAGCTGTTGGCTGTCTGTATTCAGCTGGTGGCTGCTCTCTGTATTTTGTTCGTTTTTTGTATAATATGTCTATCGTTCTGACCAAAAAGAAAAAAATAACTATATATGATTTGTATATATTTCTTTTATTTAGTTTTTATAATATTTTTTTAAATGTTCGATAAATATATAAATTTTAATTTTTTTCAATAAAATTCATATTTTTAAATTTGTAATAAATAATTTAAGTACTTATTATTTGTTCAGTTTAATTATTTTAAATTTTTGTAAATGTATAATAAAAATAAAATAAAATTAGAATTAAAAAAAGTAATTAAAATATCAAGTATCCTTTGTTATGAGCTTCAAATAATATAAATAAGTTTTGATTATTTTAATTATTTTGAAATATGAATAAATATAAATATTTATAAAAATTTTAATCTTATTCATAATTTCGAACCTCTTTATTTAGTTATTGTATTATTTATAATTTTGAATATATTTACTTAATTACTATATCATTTATATTTTAGAATATAATTTATTCAATTAATATAAATATTTATAAGTTAGAATATAATTACTTAAATATACATAATTTAATGATATTATAAATTATAAGTAATATAATAATTCAATATTTATATTTTATAATAATTGAGTAAATAGATTCTAATATATTACTTATAATTTATATCTATCATTATATTATTTATTTTTTAGAATATTTTTTCTTAATTGTTATATTATTTATAATTAGAATTTGTTTATTAAATTATTATATTATTTTAAAATTTATAATCTATTTTATTAATTATTATATCATTTATAATTTAGAATATTTATAATTTAAAATAAATTTATTTAATTATTATATATTAGTAATTTAGAATATATTAATTTAATTATTAAATATTAGTAATTTATAATCGAATTGCATAATTATTATATTATTTACAAGTTAGAAAATATTTCTTAACTATTACATTATTTATAATTATATATATATATATACTTAATCAATATATTATTAATAACTTAGATCTATATATTTAATTAATACATTATTTATAATTAATGTTATTATATATTTTCTATACGTTAAGATATATATAAATAGAATCACATTTATAACTATATGTCGAGTAGCCTAGTTGGTGGGAGATTTCTGCCGTTAGTATTAAAGTAACGATGTTAACATAAAGGGGCGAGTCTGCATCTAAACATTAAATACAAGGGAGTTTGACGAGTTTGCATCTAAACATTAAATACAAGAGGGTTTGACGAGTCTGCATCTAAACATTAAATAAAAGGGGGTTTAACGCAATTTTTAAAATACCATGATAAAACGCGCAAATTTTATATAATACAGGGGGATTTGGTGCAATAAACCTTTTTCTGTACAAATGCTATTTACTATTTAGACGTGAAAGTGATGCAGAAAAGTAGAGTTATTATTGGTTTTTTTCAAATGAATTGCAACAAATGAAAATGCCCAAGTGCAAAACGCAATCAAACGATGACTTTTGGAAAGAAATATTCTAGAGATACTCAAACAATGAAAAGATCAACAACAATATTGTTATGAATAAATAACCGTTGTACAATTATAAAATTTTAGCAACATTTAAAGAATGTAATATTTAAAAATAAAAATATTCACAATATAAATATATATTTATATTGACAAATAAAAATTTAACACACCTAATACCATTTCACGTACTAACTATATCATTTTTTGAAAAGTTAAAAACTACATCATATGAAGAGAAGCGCATGTGTTAGGATAATTATCTTTCATAATTCATACATTTTATGCAAATAGGATTATCAGATCAGGCTTATATTACTATCATATCAGTAGCTCATATCAACGAATGAGAACAAAAAGAAAAAATTAAATAAAAATTCAACGTTTACTTTTTAAATAAAAAATTAAACTGTACGATACTATTCGTTGATCCACATATGTTCATGTAATTACAAGCAAATTAATTAATAATAAAACATTCCTAACACAGTTCTCCACCAATCAATAACTTCTCCCAAATACTGCTCACATGGACATTTCGAATTGAGATTCACATAAAAATCTTTAACTACACCATTGCAAATTTAAATTTTTCTACCATTTAAATACCTTCACTTCTTAATTTGTCACACTGCGCCAGATATTTTCATGTCCGAAAATTGGTAGACCAATAAACTCATAAATGATGGTACAATGTACATAGTTTCTTCAATCCCATCCATACGTAGTGGTAAACAATGTTTCTCAATGTACCTTACATTTAAACATATGACAAAAAAGGAATACAAGTTAAATCCCCATTACATAAATTCACCATACACCTATAAATACCCTAATCAAAAGCACACAAAATCATAACCAAAAAACTATCAAACCACACAATCATCATGAGTTCATCAAACCAAGCCCCCCCAAAAAAGAGCCGAGGTCGCCAAAAGGTCAACATGGTCAAAATGTCGAACGAGAGCAACTTGCAAGTCACGTTCTCAAAGAGGCGCGCGGGCCTTTTCAAAAAGGCGAGTGAGCTATGCACCTTATGTGGGGTCGAAGCCGCCATTGTCGTGTTCTCACCTGCCGACAAGGCTTTCTGCTTCGGCCACCCTAATGTCCAAACCGTGATCGACAAATTCGAACCGAAATTCCCCCAAATTCAATCATTGCCTAACAACAATGCAAGAAGCCAATTGATCATCGATGCCCATAGAAACTCAACCATTCGTGAGCTCAATTTGGAGCTCACGCAAGTCGAGGGCCTCATGAGGGCCGAGAAAAGAAGAGCCGAGGAGTTGGACCTAATGAGAAAGTCGGGCCAAGTCCAGGGATGGTTCTTGGCTCCGTCAGACGACTTCGATTTTGCGAGTCTCCGCACGTTGAAGGAGTCCATAATGAATTTCAAGAAGAATCTCGATGCCAAGATGCAGAATGACATGTTTACCCTTGCCAATCCTCCTCCTAATTTTAGTACCTTTCCTCCCCCGAGGATCAAATTAGGAAACCCAGGTGGGGGTATTGATGGTAATCTTGCTACTTGTGCTCCTACATTTGCTCAAAATAATGCTAGATTGTCACTAGGGTCTAATGATTTTAACCCTTATGATAATTATAGTTATCATGGGGCAATTGGCCTTAGTGACAACATTGGAATGATTGGGGCTCCAAAACCGGGGACAATGAACTATGGTTCAATTGATCATCAGGCTTTAATTGGTCCTAATTTGATGAGTGGCAACAATATTTTCCCAAGTGATCCCTATCAAAGTGCCAGTGAGAAAGTTACAACCGCTTTGGGCTCCTCTCAAGTATTCAATAACATGCCCTTCGATCCTAGGTTGTTCTAATTAATGTTTCAGGCTGAGTATTATTACAGTTTATTATGTTTGGTCTTGGTCGTGTCATTTGGATTTGTGGCTCAATACTATGTTTTGNTATAAAAATGAACTCAAGTAATATTATTATAATTGATAAACTATACAACAAAACGGAAATTCGGTATAACTTGTACGTAAAATGGGCATAAATTCAAGTTTTAACAAGTTATTGTCCTGTTTTACCATACAAAAAAGTTCTACTGATTTGGCAATTTTTTGGTACACGTGTGCATCTGTGTAGGCTAAACCGGGGGTGAGTCAGCACCTACCGGTAACATTCGGTAACTTATAAATAAATTGGGCACGGACAGGGGCGGATCTGCATGGGGGCCCATAGGGGCACGGGCCCCTGTAAAATTTTTTAGTAATATGGCATATATGTGTTATATGTATAAATATATTATTATATTGACACATAAATAATACATATTATTAACTATTATGCAAAGTTATTTTATAAAATAAAAAGGAAATGTATAGAATTATTTAATCTTCATCAGTATGTTATTTTTTAAGTCGTAAAATTTATTCTTATATTATACTCAACTTCGTGTTTATTTCATTTTCGATCCCAAAATACATAGAAAATAAATATTATACATAAATGTATATATTACATAGGGAGTGGATCAATTGTGTCCTTATTTTTAAAATGAGAACATGAGATTCAACCATATCTATTAAATAAGAAACAAAGTGTCTGGTCAAGATTTAATCTTTTTATTTATTAATTAGTTAAATATTGATTTGACCCTTGACCTCCGATGTTGACCGTTGACTGTAGTTGTGCCCCCATTGTCCTTAAAGTCTGCGTCCGCCCGAACTCATCCCTCTCTCCCTTTTCTCCCATCTACGAAGAACTTAATTAATAATTAAATTATTAATTTAGAAGGTAAAACTAAAATTCGATTTTGAGCATTATGGCTACGTCTGAGTAGAAATTGTAGGGACTAGTATTGTTATGGGGAAAATTGGTTTTTGTTTTCCTCTAAGTGGGGGATATGAAAGAATTAATTGGGTGGAATCGAATTGAGTTTATATGGCCCCTTTCTCCATCTTGGCGGGCCACATTCCTCCTCAGCTCCTCCATAGCATTCCTGATTTGCTTGAGCTTGTCCAAACCTAACTCATCGACCAACACTGGCTCTAGCTCATTTTGCGTCTGTTATTGTTGTGGCCCAAATGACCTAAGGGATATCCAATAACAAGTCTTCCACGAGGCCTAATTTATTGGCCCTATCACCTTGGCAGCCACTTCATACTTGACCCAATTTATTGGCCCTATCCAATAACAAGTCTTCCCCTCATTTCTCTTTTCTCTTCTCTGCATGTAACATTCGAGTGAGATGGTGTTTTGAATTCTGCTCTTATCACTTGCAGGATTATCTCAACCGCAAGGATTTTCGATTCCTTCTGAACGTTCATATCCCTTTCTCTTTGTCTTTAAAGACTGATTCATGGGGGCTCGTTTTTGGTAGAGTTTCAAGCTTTTTACTCCGATTTTCTTCGAGCATGTAATAGGAGAGTGAATACTTAGTTTTAAGATTCATTACTTCATAATTGCTCCGTTTTTACTTATGAAGCTTTTCGAGGTATATTTGGGGTCTTGCTTGAGAATTTGGGTGAAGTTTGGATCTTTTTATTTTTTTGCTTGTGTAAGTGAATTTAGGAGTTGAATTTGTGCTTATCTTGTGTTAAAGGTTAAGACTTCGACGAAAGCTTGATCAATTGGTAGAATGCTCAATTTAATTTCCTAGAACCCTTGTGCTTGCATGTTTCTCTTTGTTTTATTTTTGCTTTTCTCGAATTGAGAAGACTCCAAGTGACCAAAGTTAAAATTTTTAATTAAAGCTTGTCCTTTAGTTAATTGCTTTCCATTTTAGTAAAATTAGTTTTAAATCAACCCCAATCACCTTATTAGTATGTCTAGGATTTTATTTTCTATTTTTT